ACTCCCCCCGTTAAGGGAAGAGACACAGAGACAGGGGGAGAGGAGAAAAAGTGAACCAAAAGTAGCTAGTTAATTTTTAATTCTTAGTTATTTTCCTGGTCTAATTCCTTCAGTTCCTGTCTTCCCTTGAGGTTTCAAGAGTTTTGAGGCCATTTCTTAAAATTTAGGATTTTCTGAAAAAGTGATGAAAATTTAATATGTTCAATAATTTTGAGAAGATATAGGACTAAATTCAACAGAATCGGATGAAAACGGACACAACTATTGAGTTTCAGATCATTTTGAGATAATTATGTTTTTGACATAGCATCACTAGCATCATGTGCATAACTGGCATCACATATACAGCATGGCTAGCAAGCAGGCAAGCCTTCGATCTTTGGCTGCTCTTATTAAAACATTGCAAAAACAGTGCAGTTAGAATATATATATATAGACTGCTCCTGCCTCACTGTAATGTTTAAATATTAGAAAAGACTACTGTAAACATCTAGCAACAGTATATAATTTTAAAAGATCATTAATGCAAAAAGAATCGTCAAGGAAAATTGATAGGCACAATATAGTACAGTATTTGAAAAGGAAATTTATATAGCAAGTAAATAGTTCAACAGAAAATTGATAAGACATGATGTGATGTCATTAAATAGATAAATTCATTGATTCTATATTCTAACTGCCAGTCTTCTACTGTACAGTACTGTAGTGTTGCCTTACCAAACAACATCAAAACATAGCAACCCCAAAACACAGCCAAGCCACGTGAACCTTGAGTTTCCATCAACCGCCACCCCAAATTCCGCCATAGTCTTGCGCAAGACCAAAGAGCCAGACAAACCCATGGCCAACTTCATGAATCCCCTCCTCAAATAGTGGAACCATTGATGCCACCCATCATTGGGCGCACCTGTTGCCGTCCAACCTCCGGGAATCACCAAGGGCTTGTTCGACGTACTAGAGGCACTATTGTTTCCACCAGTCACAAAGATACAATTTGCCTCACGTTCAAAGCGCTCCCGGATCTTTTGGTAGATTGATGTTGAGTGCACTGTGGCAGCGTCACAAAGCACCAATGCCTTGGCACTGAATGGCAATCCCAAAGCCACCCGTTTCCGCTTGATCTCTCCCTTGAGGTGTTCCAGGTATTGTGGTAGGGTGTCACCATTCCACATGTGCGATCTGTTGGTATGAGTCCTTGATATGTAGATCACACCCTCCAGTTCTTTGTTCATAGCTGCAGCAACCTTGTCAGACCTCAGGGAGCATGCCGTACTCTACAGCATATACAGTATATATATATACTGTACAGTTCCCTTTGAATTTCTCTGTTGTAGTTGTGAAGGTTATATGTAGCATGCAGTGCTGCACAGTACAGTATAGCGACAGGCCTCCACTATATTCTAACTGCATTTTTCTGGCAAGCCTAGACAAAAGCAATTCTTCAAGACTGCACTGCACATGGGGTTGATCACAAAAGGGTGGACACTAAGGCATGGACACAACATCTGGAGATGCAGTGACGTCGGCTTGGCCCATGGACCCATCGGCCCAGGTCAACGTCGTGGTTGTGCGTGCCACACGTGCGTACTCCACCGGCACCAAAGTGCTGGCAGGTCCCAAAGCTGCCGGTTTGATCCCACCCTTCTTCTCAACAATAGCATCAGAATCACCAGAATTGCCAGTCCCAGTGAGGTTGAGAGCGGACCTGATCTTATCAAGCATCTGCACCTGGGAAGGCTTGGAGTTGTCTGGGCGCATCTTTCCTTTCTCAGAACTGTCCTTGAACAACACGGTCTTTGGCGGCTCCCAATGCGTTGTCCAAACCTGATCAAAGTGACACATCAATCTGCCATCTACCTTGTGAGTGGCGATCATCATTTGAACCCATTCTCGCACCATTGCCATTGACGGGTGGTTGTATGCAAGGTGCCGGGTAGCTTGTTTTGCTAGCTTGGATGACCGGATTCCCAGCCTGTTGCACAAACGATGCGTTGCCTTCCTGAAATGCCGGGAGCAAACAGCACATCTACTGCACAATAATCGGATTACTGTAGTATATACTGTGTATGTATATATAGATTTACTGTAGTGGTAAAAGTACAGTGAGAGCAACAATTGTCATAGCCTGGCTTCTGGTCCAACACTATGTACGAAAGAAACCAGCACTTAGAATATGGTACAGTACAGTACTGTTCTGAAGCACAGCCAGGGCTCATGCACGATGCATGGTTCTTGGAGAAAGTCACAGGTGTCAACATTGATAGAATATCATTCAAGTCTTGATTTGCTGCATCTTCCACGGCCAGCAAAGCTTCCTCTGATGGGTCCTCTGGTAGGTCCTGATCGTGATGTCGTAGGAATTGTGGTCCCAGCGATTCGCGAACTGCATTTGTAAGTGCTTCAAGTTGAGAATTCCACTCAGTCACTGCTTGTTGTACAACCTCCCATGCATAGTCGAAGGACACCTCCTCGCCAAGTTGGATCCGTTCCAAAAGAAGCTCTTCAATTGCCAAAGCTAGAGGCTGTGGGATTGTGTGAGTCCCCTCTGAAACTTTGAACTTCCCGTTGTGGTGTTTGAGTGGTACTCCAAGAAGGTTGCGAAGGCGGTTTGGTATCTCCGACATCACCTTCGCCTGTTTCGGAGCAATCTCAACGAACAAATCCCATCGATCCATCTTTCTCTTCCTGCCCCAGTGGCTGGCACTGAAACAGCCCTGATACTGACCTGAATGGCGCTTGGTTCTCAGCATATGCTTTTCAGGATGTTTGACTGACGGATCTGCGCACAGCTCATCATATTCCTTAGTGCCAAGCAGCGCATTGCAGATAGAATACTCAGCCCAGACCAGTGTACTGTATTCAATAAACACAGTAAACATTATCAATCCATACAATAAGAAAGCTAAAACACTAAAGAGTCTCACTGAGGCTCCTTGAAAAGCTGAACCTTCTTGAAAATCGACACACAGGGGCGCTTTCCTGGTCGGTCCACCTTCACTTTGGGTACATACCTGCGTTTGGTTGGCACTTCATCACTTCGCTGTTTCTTCACAGTCAGTTTGGCATTCTTTGCCCGACTTGCTTCCACAGACTTCAAAGAAACAAGTGCACTGGAAGCTTGGAAGGAAGAAGACAGCTCAGCATCTGGAGTCTGCTTGCAGATGGCTGAAGCAGGAATCAAGGCATCATCTGCCAACATCTCAGGACAAGGATAAGAGGAGTCCGGTTGCTTTTCCCTGATGCGGCGCCGCACTTGGCGCTCTTGTTCATGTGGTTCACCAGCTGCCTCATTATGACTGTCATCAGGAAGCTTTTCACAAGCAATGTTCATGATGGTGCGAAACGCTGCCCAGTAGGCTTCTTTCTCAACTTCCGTCATGTCCCGGAAAGCCGGAGGTCTCCAGCCTGTAGGCGGCTTGTCATACTTGATAGGGTTTGGCCCAATAATCCGGAAGTGGTCCCAAAAGATTTGCAGCTGTTCCGGCGTCATGTCTGAGTATGGATCCTGCAGCCAAAGCGACAGTTTACTGCACTTTTGCTATATTTTGAGCGGTTTGCTTATCCTACAGTATATTTAAACATTACAGTGAATCAGGGGCAGTCTACAATTATATTCTAACTGCACTGTTCTTACAATGCTTTAATAAGAGCAGTCAAAGATCATCAGTAGGCAAAGGTTTGCCTGCTTGCTAGCCATGCTATAAGTGATGCCAGTTATGCGCATGATGCTAATAATGCTGTGTCAAAGAATTTATGATTCTTTTACAGTAGAATGATCTGAAACTCAATAGTTATGCCCTCAAAACTCTTCAAACATCAACGGAAGACAGGATCTGAAGGAATTAGACCAGCCAAATAACCAACAATTAAGAATTAACCAGCTACTTTTGCTACACTTTTAAACCCTTTCTCCTCTCCCCCTGTCTCTGTGTCTATTCCCTTAACGGGGGAGC